TTTACACTTGTTTTCCACTTGTCTCCCACACTTGTCTCCCACTGTGGTTGCCTTGGGCCGCATGAGTGTACACTTGTCTCCCACTTGTCTCCCACACTTGTCTCTCACACTTGTCTCCCACTCTGGGTGCCTTGGGCCGCATGAGTTTACACTTGTCTCCTTCACTTGTCTTCCACACTTGTCTCCCACTCTGGGTGTCTTGGGCCGCATGATTTTACACTTGTCTCCCACTTGTCTCCCACACTTGTCTCCCACTCTGGGTTCCTTGGGCCGCATGAGTTCACACTTGTCTCCCACTTGTTCCTCACACTTGTCTCCCACTCTGGGTGCCTTGGGCCGCATGAGTTTACACTTGTCTCCTACACTTGTCTTCCACACTTGTCTCCCACTCTGGGTGTCTTGGGCCGCATGAGTTTACACTTGTCTCCCACTTGTCTCCCACACTTGTCTCGCACTCTGGGTGCCTTGGGCCGCATGAGGTTACACTTGTCTTCCATTCGTCTCCCACACTTGTCTCCCACTCTGGGTGCCTTGGGCCGCACGAGTTTACACTTGTCTCCAACACTTGTCTCCCACACTTGTCTCCCACTCTGTGTGCCTTGGGCCGCATGAGTTTACACTTGTCTCCTAAACTTGTCTCCCACTCTGGGTGCCTCGGGCCCCATCATTTTACACTTGTCTCCCGCTTGTCCGTCACACTCTGGGTTCCTTGGGCCGCACGAGTTTACACTTGTCTTCCACTTGTCTCCCACACTTGTCTTTCACTCTGGGTGTCTTGGGCCGCATGATTTTACACTTGTCTCCCACTTGTCTCCCACACTTGTCTCCCACACTTGTCTCCCAAACTTGTCTCCCACACTTGTCTCCCACTCTGGGTGCCTTGGGCCGCATGAGTTTGCACTTGTCTCCCACTTGTTTCCCACTTGTCTCCCACACTTGTCTCCCACTCTGGTTGCCTTGGGCCGCATGAGTTTACACTTGTCTCCCACTTGTCTCCCACACTTGTCTCCCGCCCTGGGTTCTTTGGGCTGCATGAGTCTGCGCTTGTCTCCCACACTTGTCTTTCACACTTGTCTCCCACTCTGGGTGCCTTGGGCCGCATGATTTTACACTTGTCTCCCACTTGTCCCTCACACTTGGGTGCCTTGGGCCGCATGATTTTACACTTGTCTTCCACTTGTCTCCCACACGTGTCTTTCACTCTGGGTGCCTTGGGCCGGATGATTTTACACTTGTCTCCCACTTGTCTTCCACACTTGTCTCCCACTCTGGGTGCCTTGGGCCGCATGAGTTTACACTTGTCTTCCACTTGTCTCCCACGCTTGTCTCCCGCTCTGGGTGTCTTGGGCCGCATGATTTTACACTTGTCTCCCACTTGTTTCCCACACGTGTCTCCCACTCTGGATGTCTGGGAGCGCATGAGTTTACACTTGTCTCCCACTTGTCTCAAACACTTGTCTCCCACACTTGTCTTCCACACTTGTCTCCCACACTTGTCTGCCACTCTGGGTTCCTTGGGCCGCATGAGTTTACACTTGTCTCTTGTCTCCCACACTTGTCTCCCACTCTGGGTGCCTTGGGCTGCATGAGTTTAGACTTGTCTCCCACTTGTCTCTCACACTTGTCTCCCACTCTGGGTGCCTTGGGCCGCATGATTTTACACTTGTCTCCCAGTTGTTTCCCACAGGTGTCTTTCACTCTGGATGTCTGGGAGCGCATGAGTTTACACTTGTCTTCCACTTGTCTCCCACACTTGTCTTTCACTCTGGGTGTCTTGGGTCGCATGATTTTCACACTTGTCTCCCACTTGTCTCCC